AGTGTGACCAGCAACAGAGTGATGTCTCAAATTACCAGATGAAACAATAGTGATGATTGATTGAACCTGGACCATCTAAAAAGAAACAAAATGTACAACTGCCACACAGAATGGGGAAAATTTTAATTTCTGTTCATAACTGTTTTTAAAAAAAAAAAAAAAAAATTGTCTTGTATGTCAATAAGTAAAAAGGTGAATTTGGAATGACACCATACAATATTACTCAATGATTCAAAGATGATTTTCCTTTGTCTGAACCACACTGTTCAAAGAAAGTCAACAAGGTAAAAGCTGTTTTGATGCTCAACAGTCACTTTTTTTTTCTTCAAAACCATTAGCAAATGGTAAGGCCTACACTGAAGCATCATTTTGCATTTGCCATCTTCTGGCAAAACAACATTTCCAGATGATGAAGTAACTGAAGAAGCAATGACTGTGTTTGCTGACTCTTTTTTTCATGGGCCTTAAGAGCACAGAAGAAATAATAATGGCAATCCAGAGCATGTCACTTTGTGCTTCCACAGTAGCGCAATGAGTCTAATCTCTGTCCAAAGATGTCTTTCAGTAACTACAGCAGGAAGGACTGTGACTGCTTCTTCCTGCAGTCCAATGAATTCATCTGTGACTGATCATTTTTGTGTATGTGGATTTTTGGTGTGTAAGAACTAAAGAGGATCTTCTCATCCTTTTGCCCTTTTCAAGTGGGGGGGGGGGGGGGAGGAGGAAGGGATGAGGATGCAGGGCAAGCAACAAGACAGAGTATGGAAAGGGTCAGGAATCTAACCTCTGACATAGGTCAGGGGACAACTATGAGAAGGGGGCAGTCCATGCAGGACTGAGGGTGTTGTACTTAAATGCACATAGTACACAAAACTAGGTAAATGAGCTCAGGACAGATGAAGTTGATGGGTAATGATGTGGGTATCAGACGTGTTGGAAGCTGATCAGGCTGGGACCTAAATATCCAAGGATACGTTACCTGTTGAAAGAACAGGCAAATGGCAGAGAGGACAGTTTGCCTTCTTAGTAAGAAATGAAATTAAATCAAAAGCAAGAAGAGATGGTCGGAAGGAGTAGAATCTGTGTGGGTCGAGGTGAGATACTGCAAAAGTAAATGGAACATGATGGGAGTTTTGTACAGGCCTTCCAGCAGTAGTCAGGATGTGGGGAAGAAAATAATTTCCAGAAATAGAAAAGGCATGTAAGAAAGACACTATTACGTTAATCATGGGGGACTTCAGTATGCAGACGGAGTGGGAGAAACAGGTTGATAGCAGATCTCAAGAAAAAGAATTTGTGAATGTCGACAAGCTGGGTCTTTTTTTTCCCTCCTTTTTATGTTGGAGCAACTTGTGGTATAGTCCACTAGGGAACAGGCAATTCTAAATATACTGATATGTAATGAGGCAGCTTGATAAGGAACTTGATCAAACTTCAAGGTGAATGAACCCCTTGAGGGCAGCGAGTATAAAATGATAGAATTCACCCTGCAGTTTGAGAGGGAGAAGATTGAAATATGTATAACAGTATTAGAATTGAGTAAAAGTAACTACAAAGACTTGAGGGAGGAGTTGGCCAGAGTTGATTGGAAGGGAAGCCTAGCAGGCAAGATGGTGAAGCAGCAATTCGGGACACAGCAGACCTTCATCCCAAGGAAGAAGACACCAAAGGGAGGATGAGGCAACCATGGCTGATGAGGGAAGTCGGGGACAGCATTTTAATTTTAAAAAAAAAAAAAAGCAAAAGAAAAGCATAGTGTGAAGATGATTAGTGGGAAGCCAGAAGATTGAAAAACCTCTTTTTTTTTTTTTTTTTAAAAACCAGTGGAGGATAAGTAAAAATAGGAGGAGGGAAGAAGAAGATAAAATATGAGGGTATGCTAGCTAGTAATACAAAAAAGATTCTAAGAGATTTTTAGATATTTAAACGGTAAGAGAGAAGCAAGATTGGACATTGAATGCCTGGTGAAGTAGTAATGGGGACCAAACAAATAGTGGAGGAACTGAATTGGTACTTTGCATCAGTTTTCACACTGGAAGATGCTAGCAACATAAGAACTTTGCAAGAAGTAGGTGTAACGGCCATTGGTGATCTTTCAGTAATCACTGGAATTAGGGAGGTTATTTCTGGGTAATGTAACACTCCACGTTTAAGAAGGGAGGGAGGTGCAGAAGGCAGGGAAGTATAGGCCAGTTAGCCTGACCTTGGTCATCGGTAAGGTTTTTAAAGTCCATTATTAAATATGAGATTGCAGAGTACTTGGAAGTGCATGGTAAAATAGGGTGCAGTCAGCATGGCTTTGTCAAGGGGAGGTCATGCCTGACAAATCTGTTTAGAATTCTTTTGAGGAAGTAATAAGCAAGTTAGAAAAAGGAGAGGCAGTGGACATGATCTATTTGGATTTCCAGAAGGACTTTGACAAGCTGTCGCACAGGAGGCTGCCAAATAAGAAGAGCCTGTGGTGTTAGTGGCAAGATACTGGCATGGATAGACGATTAGCTGAATGGCAGAAGGCAGAGAATAGGGATGAAGGGGTCTTTTTCAAGATGATAGCTGGTGGCTAGTGGAGTTCCACAGGGACCAGTTTTGGGAGCACAACTATTCAAGTTATGCTTTAATGAATTGGACCCAGGAACTGAAGGCATTGTTGCTAAATTTGCAGATGACAGCAAAAGTAGGGTGGAAGAGGCGGGGCAGCTGCAGACAGGCTAGGAAAGTGGGCAAAGAAGTGGCAGATGGAGTACTGCAGCAAAGTGAGAGGTTATACATTTTGAGAGGAAGAATCGAGGCATGGCCTTTTCTCATTCAGGAAATAGCCTTCAGAAATCAGAAGCACAAAGGGATTTGAGTCCTAGTTCAGGATTCTCTTAATGTTAACATTCAGGTTCATTTGGAGTTTAGAAAGGCAAATGCAATATTAGCATTCATTTCAGGAGGGCTTGAATACAAGAATAGTGATGTATTTCTAAGGTTATATAAGTTTCTGATCAGACTGCATTTGCAATATTGTGAGCAGCTTTGGGCCCCCTATCCAAGTAAAGATGTACTGGTTTGGAGGGGCTCCAGAGGACGTTTACAAGAATGATCCTAGGGATGAAGACCTTGTCGTGAGGTGTGGTTGAGGATTCCGGGTCTGTTTCTGGTGGAGTTTAGAAGGATAAAGGGGAGGTCTGATTGGAACTTAGAAGATTGAGAGACCTGGATAGAGTGGAGCTGGAGATGATGTTTCCACTCATGGGAGAGACTAGGACCTGAAGGCACAGCCCCAACGTGAAGGGACAACTTTTTTTAGAACTAAGATGAGGAGGAATCTCTTTAGGCAGAGAGTACTGACTCCGTGTGGAAGTCATTGGTGCAGAGGGCAATGTATTTAAGTCAGAGATAACTAGGTTCTTGACTAGTGAGTTCTTGATATCTGCCACAAAAACATTCCAGTCAATAAACTTGCTTCAGCACAACTAATGGTGTACCAACCTTGCTTGGTGCAAATGTTGACTTTGGGATCATTTCAGCAAGATATAACAATTTCCCTTTTTCTTCCCCCGTCAATTACCACTATATAATCGACCAGCTAGCATGAGCGAATAAAATTTTTTTTTTCATGTAAGGGAAGTTGTCAGCATTTGTAAATTTAATTCGAGAAGCACCCGTCAACACATTTATTTTACATCTTTACTGAACCACCTCAGTGCTGTGCACATTGAATAAATTCCCTATGCTGATGTGAGGTGTCTAAGTCCACAGAAGGTCCTGCAAAAAATTTTTTAGATCTGCTACTGAAATTGTTAATTTGCTCAAATCAAGGAATGAAGTATGCAGTGAACTCTCGCACAAAGTGTGGTTGCTGGATTTCGGGTTCCTTGAAGTCAAAAGTGAGCAAGTTGAACTGAACCGCAGGAAAAGAACAGTTGACACGTATGATCAGTGCTGTTAATGCATTTAAATTGCAGTTACTTCTCTGGTCCGGCAAATATTAAAAAAAAACCATGACAATACTTTTGAGACTGAAGAAAGTAGAAGAAAAACCAGTCAGAAAAATGCTTCCACCTTAAACTTCTTGCAGGCCTGAGGAATGGTTACTGGACCCGAAACGTTAATTCTGATTTCTCTCCACAGATGCTGCCAGACCTGCTGAGCTTTTCCAGCAATTTCTGTTTTTGTGATATTATACACACATGCTTGGTTTTAAATTTAGGTGGCACTAAAATAAGCTATTGATTTTGTTTTCTTAGGAGTAGGTACTTCATTGCACTTGCATTCAAAAAGTGATCCTGTGCCTAAAAAGTTTTTGGATATTACTGCTCTAGACATTTGAGAATGCAAAGTTAATAGCAGATAGTAAAGAAAGAACAGCTGTAATAAATAAGTATTTTCCTCCTGTCTTCAATAGAGAGGATGCAAGAGACATCTCGGTAATACCTATAAATTAGGAGGTTAAAGGAAGAGAGGAACTTTGTTAATTTCACTGTCAGTAGTGAGAGTGTGCTGAGGTTTTTGATCATGACACATCACAAAGGGATTTTTGATGTGAATATGGACTGTTGGTCCATTTTTGATGGTCTGTTGTCAGAACACCCCTGATATCCTTTGATTTTTGGGTTGGAGTATGCAAACCCCATTACGTAATGAGATTGAAATTTAAGTCTTGATTTAGCAATACATGCAGTTGAGAAGTCTCACCCTGGATACAATGAAGGTTTTTTCAGAACTGTGTATTCCATAAGATGAATTTTAATGATCCAATCATTAATCTTGGAAAACCTTTTCACAATGTCATGGACAATTTCAGCATGTTATTTAGACATTTACTTTCAAATTTCAGTTGAGCTTTGCTACTTCTTGGGTCAGGTGACTGTCCATTTGAATTGTCCCTGCTGACACTTTTGTGTTCTGTCTAACGAAAGTTCTGGCTTTTAAGTTAGTGGGTGATATTTAAAGATTGACAGTCTGTGTTTAATATTAATACAACAATATTGATATGTTTACACACTGTATTTCAGAAAGAGAGATATATTGTAATCAGTAAGCTGGATGATGATGAACGCAGAAGGAGAGAAGAGCAAAAACGAGCTAAAGAACAGGTAACGATGCACAGCATATTCTATCCTTGAGGTCATTTTCTTATGCTCGTGCAGAACTTGGCACAAAGAACTAGGTCAGTAAAGGTAAATGATATGTTTTTTGAAAGGGAATCACAGCTTTAAATTTGAAAATTGGGAAAAGCTTATCCATTGCTTGTGATCTTTGGGAGAACGTCCAATTTAAGGACCTTTTTTAATTTAAAAACCAGAAATGAAAGGACAAATCTAGTTCTGCTTTACGGCATATGAGCCCTGTTGAGTGGTTTGGTTATTGCGTTTTTAATCCCATCTCTGCAGTTAGCAACATTAACTGCATCTGAAGCTACAATCTATCCGTTTTGTGTAATATTTTGGCTACGAAACCTGACTTACTTTGTGATTTAAAAACAAATGAGTTGACACTATAATTTTGTATTAACAGGCCCTCTGTTCAGAAACTTGGCAGGTGTTTTGACATATTTCTCAGTAACAGAGCAAGAAGTGATTCCAAAGTTTTATAATTCAATGTCAGATAAACCTGAAGTTTTTTCCAGTGAAAAGAGTTTCAAAGTTAGATTCATCTTGATTTAAGACGACTGACAGCCAAACTCATTCAAAGCAAAATTAAGTTTGTTTTTTCCTGTGGGAAAGTGCTTCATAATTACAGAAATAGTAGCCAGGTTTCAGCATAGTATTCTTTCTATATGTTTTAAAAATAAATTGTGTCTTGGCATCAGGAAACATAGAAGATCTATGGCACACAAGGAAGCCATTCAATAGTTTACTTTCTGGTAAAAGGGATCGGAATGCTACTTAATAGGAATATAGGACTCGGGAGCAGGATTAGACTAGTGAGTCTTTCAACCATTGAATTATAAAACATGCTCAATCTGGACTGCCCCAACCTAACCCTTGAATCTCTTTGTCAAAAATGCACACAATTCAGTGTCCAAGACCCACTGCTTTCTTGGGAAGAGAATTCCACAGATTAATGGTCTTCTGAGGGAAAATATGTGCTCAATTGTTTTGAAAGAGAGACCTCTAATTCTTTAAACTCTATTCCCCTAGTTCTAGTTTGTCCCAGAAGAGGGTGTAACCTCCTTGTATCCACCTTACCTAGTCCTATCTTGTGGGATCCTTTCTTAGGATTGTCTGTTTCAATAATAAGAGTTCACTTGCCAATCAATCAGCACACCCCTCTCATTTCCTATATAACTTGTTGTTTCTTTAGAATGGCAATACCAAATTTCAATCATGATGAGTGCAAGATGAAAAGCTTTGACAATGTCTCTCCCATTTTCAACAACACTCCAATCTTGTACTATCAGTTATGTCTTGTGTACAAAAAGTAGCATAAATCCAACCTGACTAATTTACTGCGCATTTGTCTACTCTTGATCAGCGGTGATGGAAAATCTCATTTAAGGGATTTATCAAGCAGCAGTTGCTCAACAATAACCTGTTCACTAGTGCCCAGTTTGGGTTCTGCCAGAGCCACACGCATCTTGATTTCATGACAGCTGTTGTCCAAACTTGTACACAATAGCTGAGTTCCAGAGGTGAGGTGAGAAAGACTCCCCTTGACATCAAAGCAGCATTTGATTGGGTATGGCATCAAGGAAACCCCTTGCAAAACTGAAGTCAATGGGAATTGGGGGGGAAAAACACTCCACTGGTTGGAGTTGGACCTGGCACGTAGGAAGATGGTCGTGGTTGTTGGAGGTTAGTCATCTCCGCTCCAGGAGATCTCTGCAAGAGTTCTTAAAGGTAGTGTTCTAGGTCCAATCATCTGCAGTTCCTTCATCAATGACCTTCTCTCCATCATAAGGTGCTGATGTGTAAATCATCAGCAAACAATGTTCACCATTTGCAACTCTTAGATTCTGAAGCAGTCTATGTCCAAATGCAGACCATATCCAGCCTTCAGCTGACGAGTGGCAAGTAATATTTGTTCCACACAAATGCCAGGCAATGACCATCTCCAATAAACCACAATCTAACCATTGCCTCCTGACATTCAATGGCCTTACCATCACTGAATTAGCCCAATATGAACATTCAGGGGTGGGGAAGGGGAGTTGGCGGCGGTGGTGGTGGTGGTAGTTTGCCATGATCAGAAACTCAATTGAACTAGCCATAAATACAATTACTCCTGACTCTCCAAAGCCAGGTCATCATCTGAAAGGCACAAGTAAGGAGTCACACGACACCAGGTTATAGTCTAACAGGTTTATTTGAAAACACAAGTTTTCGGAGCTTCGCTCCTTCAGGTGTTAGTGAGAGAGGTAGTATCAGAACAGACATAAGTAAATGATCAAAGGGTCACAACACTTTATCAAAGATCTCCTCCAAGCCACTCGCTGTCCTGCTTTGGAAATATATCACCCTTCCTTTAGTGTCACTAGGTCGAAATCCTGGAATTCCCTTCCTAATGGCATTGTAGGTCTACCCACAACATATGAACTGTAGCAGTTCAAGAAGACAGCTCACCACCACTTTCTCAAGGGAACTAGGGATGGGTAATAAATGCTGATTCAGCCGGTGGTACCCACTCCTCCCCAAGAGAATTTGAAAATCAAACAGCCATACGAAATGCTGAGCAGTCAGGCACCCTTTGTTGAGAAAGAAGAGGCAGTCATGATTTACCTGACGACAGGTCCTATATCTGAAACCATAACTATTTCTATCCTCACATGCTGCCTGACCGCATCAGCAGTGTTCCCTTGGAGTTGCGCAGCTACACAGCAACCCCAAAGTTCCTGTGTACAAACTTGTCCCTTCTAAACCACCAGGTGCATAGCTAGGGAGAAAAATTTAAAGGGGCCATGCACTTAGACAAACATCCATGTGCTCCAAAAAAAAAGACAGACCATTTAGAGGTTGCTGAATATTTTTGACATTTTCTATTGTATTTGAACTATCTAATTTTAGATTGACTGGCTTAAATTCTGTGTGTTTCTTAATTAGTGGCAAACGTCAAACTCTTAATGCCATTTCTCCCAGGAAAAAAAGGCAAGATAACTGGCATTGAAAGAGGTGGTTTTGGCTGATGCTCCAAACAGACCTTTTCTTTTCGGAGCTACTGGCTAATATGGACCACTTTATTTGATTGAACAATTATATAAATAATAAATTTATATGCACAATTGTTTTAATGTTATTGTGAGTGTTGTAGAAACTATAAGCTGGTATTGAATAATTTGTTTTTGTAAAGCTAAATTCTTCTCATTAATATCTCTTTTGCTTATTAATTTACTTAGTGATTCCAAAGAGTGGCTATCAATGAAACTTCTGGAGTTGCACAATTTCCATTTTCATTTGCCAAGAAGTGCACACTGTGAAAGCCCTCAATTTAACAGAACTTAAGTAGGTTGTTAATATGAAAGATGGCTAAAATTGAAGCTTGTCCTTGCGTGTTTTTTCTTCGGAGGGCAAATATGTTGAGGATCCTCAGTTTTTGTTTGGCACAGTAAACCATTGAAGGAAGTAGGGAAAATCCTTTCTCAAGATATGGATTGGGTACTAAAATGTGATCGGATCAGAAGGCAGATGAGGAGATTGCTTTTTCTCATGAGATTGGCAGTGGAAATCTAAAATTCTCAAAAAGGCTGTGGATGCTCACTCAGTTGAAATCTTAAATTTTCTCAATTTTTAGTCTTTCCTTGACTGTGAGGATATCAAGGAACTGGAGCAAAAAGGGAAAATTTAAGTTGAAGGTACAAATTAGCAACTATAAACAACTGGCTCAGGGCGTTTAATGACCTATTACTACAATGTTCCTGTCAGGACATTACCATTCTGTCTGCATGTAAATGTATCAGGATCACTTGCATTCTTTCTTTTCCCTTCTATTCTTCACTGGTCTGTACTGAGTCAGCAAATTACTAATACGATGACTAAATGGATTCTGCAATTGGTATCTCTAATGCTAGGATAGGGGGAGAAAATGGCCCCAATTTTGTATTCTTGATTGGCAGTAGCCAACTTTGATATTTCCTAATCACTCTGTTGAGAGATGTTATCCCTCACCTCTGGAGCAGGTGGGACTTGATCCCAGGCCTCCTGCCTCAAAGGTAGGGGCATTACTAAGCACTACAAGAGCACCAGTTGCCATCATTGACTGAAATGCATGAAATTTGGCTCAGCTAGGATGACTCCCCAAGTAGTCTTCCATAACTCACTGTTCTAGACTTGCGGAGTTGATGAGTGCGTGATAGTACTGTGCTCCAAGTAATCAGTGCCACTTGAGCCAATCCTAACGAAGTTAAAGCATGGAAAAATAGAGAATCAACATCTGATTTTATTGCATATGATTCTGTTCTTATATTGACCATCTATCTTGGTTATTGAAGCATTTAGTGAGCATTAAATTTTAAAGGAGGTAATTAGAGTCTTGAAATCTTTGTATCTTGGTATTTCAGTCATTCTCGGTCTAACTTCATGTCTGGTTTGCAGTCTTTTTTTTTTTAAAATGAAAAGCTCAGTAATATCTCACCTAACTGGGAGAGGGCAATTCAGAAGTTTCAACCTTAAATTTTTGTTAATTGTTCTATATGGATACCCATATTATAATGAGGTGGACATCTTTAAAACAAGACACTGGCTTTACTGCTAAACTGTTATATTTGCAGGAAGAAATGAATGATGCTGTGGGGTTTTCCAAAGTAATATACGCCATTTCAAAATCGGTGAGTCCTCCTTGCTGACTGTAAATTGAAGTTGACTTCCAGGATATTTTCATAATCCCACTTGAAACCTTACCCATATATAGTTCACTTTTAAAGATTAATACCACAAATTTTTTTGATATTTTGCAATTTTTTCATGATTTACTGTCCTGAGGGCAAGTGCCCCTATAGCCATTGTCATTCTCATCTTCCCTCCCTCTAAAAGTGAAAAGTTTGACCTTCCCAAGTCCTGTGTGTTATCCAGTGAGCAGTACCCGAGTATTTTGAGTGTTTTTTTCCCCCATATAAAGTCTTGGCTTTTCATTCCGGTGCACCATAGAAATATATTTCAGTTTTGTGAAAAATCAATAAAGAAAGGTCTACTATGTACACATTTCAAATAAACTGAGATACCTGAGTATTCATAAAGTTGGTAGTGATACAGCAAATGGAAAATATTGTAGGATTGTTGGCATTTGAGAGTTTGTTTAAAGTGTATGCATGTATATGGCATTGCAGCATTTCCTGCCAAGTTGGAAGCATAGTTTAACCGTCGACTTTTATGGAACAAATAAATAGTAAAGCAGCACCCTTGTTTTAAATACAAAGCCCTCTGGAAGAAATGCAGCATGCAAATCCATGTCTTTTTTATAGTTTCAGTGGTATAAGAAAAAGGCGAGGTTGCATATCAAGATTTTACCTCCACTACCTAATTGTTAAGGTGGCACATGAACTGTTGAGGCCAAGAGTCTTATGAGATATACAGATTTGTGTTCAATTAGAAAATCTGAGCTTGTGTTAGGAGCTACCACAGAGACCATGTTTCTGACTCAAAGCACATGTTGTGTTTCTGCAGAGGTTTGGTGCAGGAGGTGGACTGAAATTAGCTGTGTTACGGAAATGGACTTGGTTTAGCATCTGTGGCCTCATCTCAAATCCTGGCCAACTGCTGACAGTGAGATGGTCCACAATAATAGTTGTGTGTGGATGGGATTTTTAAGCTGCCAGCTGTTGCACAACATATATTTCTATCTATGTCTCTCTGAAATGTAATTTTGTCTTTAAGTTATAGTTAATCTCTAATATTACTGAATGGATCCTGTGGTTTGTGCACAAACCATAATCAGATTTGTTTAAAAACTGTTGACCTGTTTTCACTTCACCTGCCACGGTCCTTCCCCCAAACCTTCTTTCACATCAGGGTTCTTTACCTTATTCATTGAACCTAATTTCTGATTTCCCCCCCCCCCCCCCAATACCTCGAGTCAAATTTCCTTCCTAACAGCATTATGGGTGTCCCTAAACCCCACGGACTGCAACAGGCCAAAAAGACTTCTCGCTATCACCATTCTCCCTGGCATTTAGCAATGGGCAATAAATGCTGGCCCAGCCAGTGAAATTCTGCCTACACTCCCTAATAAATCTCATTCAAAGGATAGATGAAGTATCAGAATGTAACCAGTATACTCCAGCACAGGACATAATCTCTAGCAAGGGTGGAAGAATGTGGTTTTTAAAAAAAAAAAAATCCTCAGATTTCAGCTTTGAAAAGCCTGACTTCACGATCAATTATTGGGTATTTATACTAGTGGAAATCTTTTGATAATTGTTCAGTTATTCAACAAATATTCTGCTTAGTTCTGTTTATAGGATTTTTCCCTAACCCAATGAACTGTTACATTTATTCATTTTACAGAATTAACACAACACTTAATGTTTGAGAAGCTCACTTATTGCAGAACATTGGCAAGAGATGTGTTCAGTCAGTTTATACTTTGCATTGGTATCAAAATTTGAGTGTGGCAAATGTTGAGGCATGAGGTGTTCAGTGCAAAGCAATTTTAAGTGCATTTTGCCTAAGCTGCACTTTTTAAACTACATGGTAACATGATCTTTAGAAAAGTCAAAAAGTACAGTTTACTTCACCTCCAGACGAATCTTGACACTCTATGGGGAATCCTGGAAGAGAAGTGATTTATTGAATGGACTATTATTGTGAATAATGTAATTTTATGTATAATGCAGGTCATAACTTGTCCTTTTCTGAAAGGAGTAACTTTTTTTTTCTTCTAGGGTAAACTGGTTGTTGGACATAACATGCTACTTGATGTCATGCATACAATTCATCAGTTTTTCTGTCCATTACCCAATGCAAGTATTTATCATCTTAAATTGTGCTTGGTTTTATTATGGTTCATGTTAGAGCTTGGTTATGAGAGCATGCAAACCTTGAATACTATTCTTGGCGGGTGATCTCTGTAAGAAGAGTTCTATGACATGTATTGCTAAGAATTATTTTGTGGAAAATAGAGAACAGAGAAAGAAATAATAAATCATAAATTCAAGGAGCAAATGGTATGATATTTGGTATATTTGTGTCCAGGAGTAATGAAGATTTGCTACAGTTGTATAGAGCTTAGGTGAGACTGCATCTGGATTTTTGTGTGCAGTTCAGTCTTGCCTCCAGAGACCTTGCCAATGAAGAGTACAACAAACGCCTAGATTGATCCCTGGAATGGTGGCAATAAGGAGAGATTGAGGAGACAAGGCCTGTATTCTCGGAGTTTAGGAGAATGAAAGATGATTTTATTTGCAGCATGCAAAATTCTTCTGGGGCTGAACAGGATAACTGTAGGTAGAGATAACCCAGGTGTAGAGCTGGATGAACACAGCAGGCCAAGCAGCATCAGAGGAGCAGGAAGGCTGACGTTTTGGGTTTAGACCCTTCTTCTGCTCCTCTGATGCTGCTTGACCTGCTGTGTTTATCCAGCTCTACACCTTTTTAACCTCAGATTCTCCAGCATCTGCAGTTTCTACTATAACTGTAGGTAGGATGTGATCCTTTGGCTAATTGGGTCTAGAACTATGGGACAGAGCCTACGAATAAGAGGTTTGCCCTTCCTTCATTAGGAGGAATCTGTTCATCCACAGGATGATGAGCCTTTGGAATTCTGGTCTCCAGAGAACTATGGAACCTCAGGCATAGTGTATATTTAAGACAAATCAATAAATTTCTACTTAGTAAAGATAAATAATGGCCTCCTCCTGTACTTATTTCCTGTGTTCATTAATCTATTTTCTTTGGGTGTCAGGGAACAGGCAGCTGGTACTTCCAGGATGGTCATCAATGTCCCTTGAGCTTGCTAGTGGTCGGGGGGGCGGGGAGGTGGAAGCTGGAAGCTGAGTGTCACCTGAGAGTTTAGTGGTAGTGAACTCTTGTCCCAATTTCTCAATCCTTTTGCTCCAGTGCCTTCTGGATTGTAGCACCTATTCATGGCAAAGGAGCAAACAGAAAAAGCTCAGCAGTATGGACAGATGTGTCTTAGCTTATCAGGTGTGATTACAAAATTTTAAAATAGCTTAAAATCTTCTGGTAGCCTGGTCTGAATAAAACTTAAGGGACTGCATGGTCTGCATTTTGTTTTACTTCCTTGAATTATATGTTCAACTGTTTCTTCTTTTCAAAATAGGAGTTAAATGAATTTAAAGAAGTTACAACAAGTGTTTTTACTAGGTAAGTTTAATTTGGTGCTTGTGTTGTCTCCAAACTCAAATGTTATAGGTAATGCATAGGGAAGAGAGGGAATGACCAAATTTGGAAAATTGATTAATTGGTAGTTCAGAGAATAAAATAATCTCAAACTGTGTATGGAGATTCCTACCTTTGATTCCTCGCATTATGATGTAATTATATGCCTTTTCTTTTTGTGTTAAGGCTTCTAGACACAAAACTCATGGCAAGCACGCATCCTTTTAAGGTAAACTGGTTGGTTGTGTTTTATTGAACATAGTTCCCATTCTTTAAACTGTGAAGGTACTATCCTGCTGAGACCATATTTGCTGGCATTAGTCATCCTAGAACTAACGTAAATCCACGTGGTTTGTGATTACATTACTCTTGCGCCTGTACCAGCTTGGAAATTTGCCAACTCAGACATGCTGTTAGACCACATTTCCAGGATAATGTAAAAGAAAATTTTAGACCAGAGTGTCAATGCCTCAAAACCCATCACCACACTTTGCTCAACTGATTTCTCTAGTTGTGACTGCGTCAGCAGAGATTTTCTGAATAATTCAATTTAGATAAATTGTACTGGATAGTAAAACAACAATAAAGAATATATCAAAGAATAAAAGCAGCTATGTATTGATTCAAGAAAAATCTTATTTTGATCTTTTGAAATGAGACTAGTTTATGAAATCAAATGAAGTTGTATGGATTGTTTCCTTCGTTGCCAACAATTTTAGATTAAAAACAATTGCGTTATGTTGAACATTGCACAATTTTTACTAGGAGAATTTCTTTCTGAAAATAGTGATACTTAATGCTCACATGATGTTCTGAGTACTTACAGTAAACATTCTTTTTACTTGGTTTCTCAGTTTAGTCACTAGGTGGAGCATTGTCATCAGGGAAAATGACCATATCTCTGATTTCTTCTCATCTTGTTGGGTGATGAATGTGTTTCTGCAGAGGTTTGGTGCAGGAGGTGGACTGAAATTAGCTAACTATACATCTGGTGGAGGGTCAGTTTGGAATAATTAGAGAACTCATCAGATCTCATTGAACTTTTGAATGTATTCATGTAATAATATCCCCTGTGCATGTGTCCACTGATACCAGCAGGTCTTTGATACTGGTGCATCAGAAGGATAACCTAAGTTGAGGCTCTTCAAGTGTGCCACCATCTTTAATGACAGCGCCAGTGGCAACATATGGCATTTTGAGTACAATTTTGTTGATGCGAATAGGAAGATTGAGGTTTCAATACTGATCCACAGATCATTCTACCTGTAGAATGTTGATTAAAGGATATGCCATTATCAGCTTTCACATTTTTTTAAAAATGTTGTTGTAAATAGCGACATTTTTGCGTCAAACATTTGTCAAAAACTTTGAAGTCCAGCAGTATGTGATTAGACTTGTGGTTACTTTGGAATGTCATTTCCACACAGTTTTAAGAGGTGGGTGTTAACTTAGAACAGCCATTTGATGAAGGAGATCAGTCTTTACTCAATTTAGATTTATTCTCCTAACTAGACTCACCCAGCCCTATTTCAATAAATGCATTGCTCCCAGTTTTCTTCATGGGAAATCATCTGCACCCCGCATTTTAGGGTTCTCAGCATCTCTCCCTGATAAGATCGGCACTGAGGATTTTTGCTTCTTTTAGTCCGATTTTATTCTTGATAGAGTTGACCACAAAGTGGTATGTAAACAGTGTGGGCTGCTCCAAGTCTTACAAATTCCCCATCTTCCCCTTCCTTGTAGGGAAGTTCCTCCTGGAACTTGGGAATTAACAGTGTTATGAAATATACAATAGGAGCAAAGAGATTCATAATACTGAAGCACTAGTTCTAATTGTTGAGGGTGAAAGCATGTGGTTGTCTCTCTCAAATTTTGAGATTCCTGTTTTTCTTATAGGAACTGATAATGAACACCCCTCTTGCAGAGCTGGAAAAACGATTAAAAGATGCACCTTTCAGAGCTCCCAAAGTTGGTAAGGGGAATACCTGGTGTGTAATCTTCATAAAGTTGCTTGTTTCTTCATGAATCACCACCAGTGTACTTTTGCACACTGAATCTTAATGGATTGAAATTTGTCATTTTGTTTTGCCCAAGTGGAAGATGAGCAACTTGTCGTGCTTGTATCAACTTGGAGTTCTGAGGAAGGGTCACTGGACCAAAAACATTAACCCTTTGTCTCCACAGATGTTGCCAAACCTACTGAGCTTTTCTGTTTTTGTTTTGGATTATCAACTTGCCTGTGAGTAGAGTCTGAAAAAGAAATTAATGGTAGGGCCCTTCCATTATGCCTTCAAAAAGGAAACTTGTTTACTGAAATCTGAAACTTCATGAAGCAAAATATTCAACTCCAATTAGTAGGAAGTGCAAACCTTTGATTCATTTCTTTGTTATTTAAGTTACTTAAGTTTACAGACAAATTTTCAGGTTTGTACTTCTTGTGGAACAGGTGGCTCATTTAACAAATATGCACAGGGGAAGTGTTTGAGAAAAATCTGTTGCATCCTTGTTTCAAGTAACTTGTGCATCAGGTACATGAGTTGTAAAACATACTTGAAATGTTACAATATTTTGGGTTATTAGCCTCTAAGCTAAAATTTTAAACCTGTAATTCAAGAAATTGCAAATTCCTCGATCGAATAGCAATTCAAGCTGTGTAGCCTTGTGTCTAACTTCAACCCCAGACAACAAGACAAAACAATGGGCACAGGTTTTGGAGACAAGTGAAAGCAACTTCCTGTAAATTCCACTAACTGACATGGGACAATAGATTATCCTTCCATGGACCAAAATAAAATAAAATGCAAATATCTATTTTTGGACTAAGGTTTGTGACTCAAGTACTGGAGGACGAACTGAATGCAGGATGATGTCATGAGTCATTATGACCCATTTACTATATGTTGGCTTACATCATTTAGGGTTGTCTTGCTCCCTTCTCGGGTAAAAGTTCCACCATCATTGGTTTGTGTTGCTGTTTAGATATCAATTGAATAGTTATGTTGGCCATGTATGACGAAGTTCAAAATAAAAACCGAAAGGACTGGTGATTCTGTTCCTGATTTACAGCAACAGAAGTTGCTGGAAAAGCTCAGCAGGTCCGACAGCAACTGTGAAGAAAAAATTGGAGTTAAGGGTCACCAGACCTGAAACATTAACTCTGATTTTTTTTTTCTCTCTTCTCTGATGCTACCAGACCTGCTGAGCTTTTCCAGCAACTTCTGTTTCTGTTCCTGTGTATGATGAAGTTCAAATCTTTTTCAGCATACCAGGTGTATGAGGTCTCTCTTTGATTGCTGTGGGTCTTCTTTTTTTCTGTTGTAATTGAGAATTTCATCATTAACAGTTTCCACATCCTAACCTATACTGACTTGCAGTGTGGTCATGATCTATTATAAATGTTTATCTTCAGTGTTCAAACATTGGCTTGCCCAAGCTGTTAATGTTTAACATCAGAACAGTATATGTTAGGTTTATCAACTTTCAGTATCATAATATGAAGTGCAGTTTGTCTTGAAAATTGAACAGATTTTTGATGTTTGCCTTAAATTTTGTTACGAAACTGCCCATGTCCAAATGAGTTTATTTAGTTGATTTTTGTCAGTGCACAATTTAGAAAACTGCTAGAAATGAATATTCGTCACTCTCCATGGAAGATGAGAAAAGTTAACATTTCATTTACAGAATTTTTGTTTTAAGAATGTTTTGTTTCATAACTGCTTTTTAAAAAAAGACACATTGGGATCTGAAGTTTTACTTATCTTTTGCAGAAAGTGCGGAGGGTTTTCCGAGCTATAACACTGCCTCAGAACAATTACATGAAGCAGGTTACGATGCATATATAACCGGCTTGTGTTTCATCTCAATGGCAAATCATCTAGGTACGGATGTTGGAAGAGATTGTGTTTTGGACAAATTAAAACTGGTTATTGAACATCAGAATGATTTACAGGTTTGAGATCCAAAATTGCTGAAATCTGGATCCTAGAATTTGTCGAGTGTGATACCTAGTTGGGTGAGGAAATTTAAAAGAAATGTAAAATTGCTCCTACAGTTCAAGGGGAAGGGAAAGAACAGAAAGAAATTGCACTTTTAATTATGTAAATCTAGGCTATGTGGCAGATAGTTTCCTAGATTTTGTCCTGTGACTTGCTAATGTTTGTAAGGAATAGCTGATTTGCAATTCAATCAAGGAGGTTGGCTACTATGATATGCCATCATGTGTAATTATGTATATGCAGTCATGTTTTGAACTGCTCAGTGAAGTATTTAATTGAAATGTCTCACATTGATTAGATGTGGAAAGTTCTCCACTTACAGATCATGGTGTGAAGTCTGCTTGTTTAAGTGTTAAAATTTAGATGATTCCTTTTGCCTGCAATCTGGATGATCCGGCTATTGACCAATTTGAATAATCTAAAATAGTTTTACACAGTGCAGTAACAAAGCTGTTTGACTAATAATTATAATACATTCCCTTTTGAAATACTGTTGTGTGGTTTAGTTCTTTTCAAAATGCATTTATATTATCTTTTTTAATGATGTGGTTCTGAAGTCATGTAAAGCTTTGATATAGCACACTTAGTGCTGTGTGGAAGAGAGGTTGTGGTGAGAGGCAGGAAGGATATCCATAACCTAGGCCCAAGGATTTAAATGCAGGAGAGTATTATAATACTTTAAAATTGATAATTGTTGATTTTCTACCTCAGCAAACTTAAGAAAGAGATGTTCAATTTTACAGGTCTTGACTCATTACAGGGGTTTGTTATTGTCCGTTTTTATTTTGAATGCTTTCACTGGAACAGTTGTTACATGGAGGAAATGAATGTTTATTAGTCATGAAAACTACCTCTGAGTCAATGCAGCCCATTTATTTTCTTTGGCAGTTCTGGTCCTGGTAACTGTACTTCTAAGATGTTTTAAAGTGGAATAATATAATTACAATTTTAGTGGTTGTGTTTTAAAGGAGATTTTCTTTTTCCTTTTTTTTTTAAATTAGGTTCATTCCTTAGCCCTCCAGAAGTTTTTGTTCCTGCCAAATCTAAACTGGTTGAACCTTTTATTAACAAGTAAGTATTCTTATTATCACTTTGCTTGTTTCTACATTTTTGTTTTACCAGTGGCAGCTGTGGCCAAAACAGCAATTTCTCGAGGATTGTAATGCAACATAATTGCTATTTTTTTTTCAGGCTACTTATTGTGTGGTGCCTGCAGGGTTGGAACAATGGTGGGAATAGGTGGTAGTAAGTACTCAATGCTGCTGGGCAATAGCAGGGGGCTTACTTTGGAGATGCATGGAATGGAACTGCTGCAAATGCATTGTTGGGACATGTGAGGCAATTGTTCTGTATTGGAAGTCAAATCAGATTGTGCTAAGGAGCAGGCGTGCGAAATGACCATACTGCAGTTTTGCTGAATTTTTTTGTCTTGCTTGGGTGTTAATGGTCTGTTAGTGGAGGAAAACAGCAAAGGTGAATTCTACTGTTTTGAAGCCAAACACCGGCTTTCTGGATTTAACCCTTGGGGGTTATGGCAGTGTATGCAGGTATAGTACAGCTTTCTAGCCTTGGAATCAGAAGATTGTGTGAAAGTCCCAATCTAGGACTTGATGGCAAAAATTGTGGGCTGACTCTCCTGCATATACAGAACATGTTGCACTGCCTGGTGCCGTTTGTTTTTGAAAGCAATAGAAATTTGGGTCCCGTTTTCCATCTCAGATAGATATGAGCGATCAAACAATAGCACTTTGGAGAAGACCAGAATTATTCTGCTGTTGTGACGTGACACGACCCCAAGGACCCACTGAGCCAAAGAAATCCGGAAGAGAGTTAGTCACTTGGGTGAATATCAGTGCCATAGTGGATGCAGAAATGCTCTTTACCAAGAATCTTACAAGGCTGCTAGAAACTGAGTTCAGGGGATTCCATTTCTGATGAAACGTCATTGGACTTAACATTAACTCTGCTTTCTCCCCACAGAAGCTGCCAGTCCTACTGAGTTTCATCAGCAATTTCTGTTTTTGTTTCAGATCTCCAGCATCCGCAGTTCGTTGTTTAATTTCATGTATTCGCTATGAAGTTTTTTTGAGTTTAGTTGATGGTTTGTTTTAGATGTCTCAGTAAGAGTATCAGCTGAAGCAAAAGCATCCAGTGAATGTGCAGGAATTCCCTGAAGGAAACCAGTTGCAGCTCTGTCAGATTGAGTAAGAAGTCTTGGTGTGGAGATGGTGGTCTTTGCTTCTGTTTGGTAGTTTGTATGGATATTGCTGGGGTAAAAGAAATAGTTTGAATTCCATTCAGATATATATAATAACTTGCAAGCTTTTTTATCTTGTTTAATACAATTCATTTCTCTTGTTCAAGAATTGTTTTATTATTTTGTTTTAAATAAGAGTATATTAGTACACTGTTAATTTGTTCTGACCTCCCATAGTTTGTTAAAATGCGACTTCATTTCTTTTCAATCAGTTTAACTCTTGGACCTGACTTGTCAAGCATCAACATCAGCTAGAGTCTTAACACCATCAGTGTCTCTGTAAACGATTAATTGGTCATTTATCACATTGCTGTTCTTGGAAATTTTGCTGTCTTCAAGCTAGCTGCCTACATCTTTCCTGCATTGCAATACTGAATGAAAAGTGCTTTGAACCCTGTGGTCATGTAATGCACTACATAACTGCAAATCTTCTATTTTTAAGTTTGCAGCACAAATTGTCCATGATGTCTGGATCTATTCCGTTCTACCGTTCATTTAATATTCAGGGAAGTAATGGCCTAGTGGTATTATGGCTGGACTATTAATCCAGGTGAAGTTCCGGGGACCCAGGTTTGAATCCCTTCGTAGCAGATGCTGGAATTTGGTCGTCAGATTTTTAGTGAATTCATTTGTCAGTTTGTTGGAACTGGTTCACTAATGTCCTTTTAAGGAAGGAAACTGCTGTCCTTAAGTGGCCTGGTCTACATGTGACTCTGGACCCTAAATGTGGTTGACTCTTGACTGCCATTTGGGACCATTTGAGATGGGCATTTGTTCTTGAATGGTGACTTTGTAGTTACCACTCCAACTTGTACATCTGAGACCTGACCAAGCAGTTATTTTACCAAGTAAAAAGAATATCAATTCAAAAATCATTTCAAATGTCAAATGTAATACAATAGTTTGTCATCTGACCTCCATTAAATTGTATCCCTTGATAATTACTTGAATGTTGTGTTTAATTACATGCAGCAGAAATTATAGCTCAACCAGATGGCCTGGAGGAGGATAGAGTTGATCTGAAGCTGTGGCTTAATTTGTATGATCTGTCACCCAGTAATTTTTAATGCAGCTTTTGTGCTTTTCACCATCTCCTCTTTTCCTCTTCCCTTTTTTTCATGATTGTATGCTCCTTTTAATACTACCTACAAGTATTGAACAAGGCAGCAGTAATTTCTGATTCCTCTTCCACAAGTAGGTACAATTGGGTGATGTGAATCTGTAGCCTAAAGTAACTTTCTGGTTCATGATTTCTACCAATAAGTCATGTTCTCCTTGTTGAATGTAGGCTGGTTTCTTCAGTTAGTATTCAAACTTGTCCTACTTGAATTGTCATTGAAGTGTAAATTTAAATAGAGAGTATGTGACAGCAATCTTTAATTGACAGTCAGTTGTCAACCAGAGCAAGAAGAATTTTGTTGGGTTAAACCCTAGCTTTCTATTCCATGAAAATTTCACAGTAGTACGCCTTTTGTTAATTGAATGTTCTGTTGAAAAGATTCATACTTGGTATCACTTGGCTAAAGGAAATGAATGATGTGGGTGGGTAGTTGTGGGTTAAAGTTGAGCAAATAAAACATTCCAAAACAAAAGGCAAAATAACCATTCAGTTATCTGAGTGCTGACAAGAATGAAGGTGGTTCTTGAAATTCTCCAGTGATTTAAGGTGAAGTTGCACATCTTCTGGTTTTGTGGTTACTCTTGGAGTTGACTATTCTGTACTAACATTGTGTGCCATAGCAAGAGTGGGATGGTGCTGGTCATCTGTCGTGTAGTGAATTTTGATTCTGGATGTTGTGCATACTGAACCTGGAATGAATGCTAGATTCTTTTTGCTGATGTGCAGCATATTAGTCTTTTGTTTTGTTTGTCCTTGAGATTTGTCAGCTGTGGTTTAGTTGGTAACAGTGTTTTGTCAGAAGCTTGCAGATTCTCTCCAGAGCTTGAACTGAGGGAGTGCTGTGCGTTTTCAAAGCACTGTCTTTCAGATGCTTTACTAAACCAAGGCCTCTCCTGGATGTGAAGGTCCCATTGCATTTTTTTCACATAAATGCAGGGGATTTGTCCTTGGTGTCCTAACCAATGTTTATCCCTCAATCAACATCACAAAAGCAGATTAACATGACATTATCCCATTTGCTGTTTATAGGAATATACCGTGCACAAATTGGCTGCTGCATGTCTTGCCAAGTGTAGTCACTGTCAGCATGCAAGTATAAAACCCTGTTTGAAACATAGTCTGAGATAACAAGGTGTAGAGCTGGATGAACACAGCAGGCCAAGCAGCATCAGAGGAGCAGGAAGGCTGACATTTTGGGCCTAGGCGCTGCTTCAGAAAGGCCCGAAACATCAACTTTCCTGCTCCTCTGATACTGCTTGGCCTGCTGTGTTCATCCAGCTCTACAACTTGTTATCTCAGATTCTCCAGCATCTGCAGTTCCTACTATCTCTGAAACGTAGTCTGGAGTCTATAGTATGGAACCAGGGAAATCTGAGTTCTCCAAACACTTGCTGAACTCTTTGAAGTGGTTCTGCAGAGAAATGTAGCTGGTATGGGCGAAGCTAAAGTACCTGCGCTATGCGGCATCGATGAATGTATTAAAGTAAAAATATTTATAGTGGGTGAGAGTTACTTCAAAGATTGTCAATAAGACTGCATACATACATCATGGGTGATGAACAATGTAATGAAGGACTGACAACAGAAGAGCAGGCAGGTGTTTTCTGAAAGCCGGCAAGTTTTTCGTTTTTATGGGTAAGTCCTATCAACTAGAGTATGAATCAGATATGTCACCTGGAC